TTGCCATCAGCTTGAAGAGCGTCAGGCTTGGAGCCCAACTTCATAAACTTCATTTTTTTTTCTACTCTCCTCGAAACCAAACCAAACGAAACCAAACGAAAAGACAATTATACTACAAAGCATAAAAAAAAAAAAATAAAAAAAAAGGAGGTGGCGCGTAGTGGTGTGTACGAACGAAGGTTGAGGAAGGTCAGAAAAAGTGAAGTTGCATTGGGAAGAAGGGTGTGGAGGAATAAGCAATTAAATGGCGAGAGAAGTGGTTTGGTAAAATTAAATGGTCGCCGCCTTTGATATAAATGATGGGGATTCGGTGAAGATCTTGGTTGGGGTGCGAATCTCAAGGAAGAGGAGGAGGAAGAGGTGAATGAATGATGATGGTTGTTGTCTCTCTCTGGAATTGGAGGGAAAGTTAGAGAGAGTGAGAGAAAGTGGTAATGGAAATGGAAATGGAAATGGAAATGGAAATGTGTGTATGTAGTGTTGTTATAACAGTGGGTTTGTGTAGGGAGTAGGGGACTATGTGACAGGGTGGCTCAGACTCAGTCTCAGACTCTCAGACCTTCTTTATGTTTATGTTTATGCCCACAAAGCACGCCATCTTTTTTAGGACCTTTTTCTCCCTTCTCTTTTCGCCTTATCTTCTTATCCTCCTCACACTTCCATGTCTCTTTCCACACAACCACACTCCATCACCTTCTTTCATCCACTAAAAATCATACTTTTAAAACTCGGACCGGTCATCGAACCGGTTAATGTACTCGGTCAGTGAATCAAAGATTGAATCGGTGGATCATTAGTTGAACTATGACTCGGTTTTTATTTATTTTTATTAAAAAAATATTCATATTAAATATATTTTATACTTATAAATTTTAATAAATTTATATCTTATTTTAAATTTCAATTTTTCTATCTTATTTAAAATTATTTTTATTTTTATTTTGTAAAAAAATACATAAAAAATTACATGTTAAACAGTATATTAATACAAATTAAAAATATAAATAATATGTACATATATAATATGCTTGCAATTAATATCACAATATATGTAATATTTACATAAATATTATATTATTAAATATATAATTTAAAATTAATAATATACTATAAATGTTATTTAAGTTGTATATATTGCAAACAAATATATTAGAAGTAGTCATTGTTATATTTAATAAGACTCATTAAGAGATTTAATTTTCATTATTATTTTTTTGTGGTTTATGGTCCCTTAAAAAAATTAAAAATAAAAAAAATTTGGTTGAACCGGTTTGACCCACCGGTTCACCGGTTGAACCGGAAAATTGACCGGTTCAATCCGGTTTGAAACGGGTCGACTGCATAACCGATCCAACTTAAGATTCGGACCGGCTGAACCACCGGTTCCCGGTCCGACCGGCCTGTTCGGTCCGGTTTTTAAATCACTGCTAAAAACCATCATATATTCTATCATATATTTAATTAAAAAAAAATAACACAACTCAAATAAAAAAGATTAAAAAAAAGTTATTTTAATAAATTATTGAATATTTATTATCTAATGTGCAAATTACAAAAATACTGCAAGTAAACCATCAATTTTATTATCTATTATTATTGTCTTATAATAATTACCATTAATTATTATTATTGTGTGTAATCATTATCTTAATCGTTCATTATTAATATCGTTAATATTATTGTTATTATTTTTTTTATTGTAACATTAAGATATTTAATATTAATTTATTAAGAATTAATTTTTTATAAGATTGAAATGAAATTTAATGCATGTTTAGTTTTAACAAAAATTATTCTATGATATCTATTGTATTAATTTTTTTAAAATACTTTTACTTAAAGTTATAGTGATAAGTTTAGGAAAAAAAATATGAATTTGGGACAAATTTAACGTTATGAGTTTAATTAATTAATTTTTTTAATTATAGAAAATTATGTAATTGAGTCATATAAAAAAATGGAGAAAATTTAAAACATGAGAGATTCATTAAATAAGTTGTGACACATAATTTTAAGATTTATAGTAAATTTTAATTAATAAAAAATGTATATCTAAAATAGTATATATATATATATATATATATATATGATAGTATATTACTAACATTTTTTCTCCTCACAAGTCAAACCTTAATTATGGGATATTCATGTTCTTTTCTGTCCAAAAGTATAATTCTCAAAATTTATGAATCTTAGTCATTTAGATCTTAAGAAAGACTAAATATATTAGATTAGTCATAAATATTCATCTCGATGTTACTTGAAAATTAAATATTGTTTATCACATTAAATTAACAAATAAAGATAATAAGATATTTTTATCTTAATAAATTATTTTTTTTTAACTCATAAAATGTAGATTTACATTTTTTATGAGAATAATTTTGTGAAACTCTATGTAAAATAATATTATTAGATTCTTGAAAATATTATTTTTAAACAATAAATCAAAACATAAAAATTTATATATATAAAAAACTAACATTTTTAACTCCTAAGCTAAAAAAAATTGTGTACTAAATGTCTCTTTAATGTTGTGTGTAATTTTTAGATTATATATATATATATATATTTAATAAAAACGTATTTCTTTTGGCTGAACAGCCACATTATGATTATTAATAATTTACTTTTGAATATATTATTCGAAATTCATTAAAAACTATGAGATATAGAATCTATAAAATTTTATAATTTTTAATGAATTTTAATAATAAAAATGATGTTGAGATGAATTTGTTAAAAAGTATATTATTAACCATCTATAAGTTTACGGTGGGTCTTGAAATTGTTGAAGTAGTTTAATTAAATTTTTATAATAATTATTATTATTACAAATAATCGATAATTAAGATTAGACTTTAAATATGTAAAAGATTCTAAATTTGGAATTTATTATCATCGTTATAATTTATATGAATAAGAAAGATCAACTTCTACAAATAATAACATGATATTTTTTTTTTGTCATAACTTCCCGTCTAAATCAAGAATTAGATTCTATTCTTTATGAAACTAATTGTACTAATGATATTTAGTGTAACAATTATTTTAAAATCATGTTTAGTGAGAAGTATATACAAAAATAAAACTCTAGAAATAATATAAAAATAGATGGACATGTGATTTTGAAAAGCTGTTAATGCAAAACTTGTATAGCAATAGCACGATGCATGCATGTTAATGGATTTGTTTTTATGTCTCCAAAGTCTTGTGGTGTAGGGATGAAAAGTGAGGCGTTTTGGCACAAAGGGATTATGCACTTTCGTTTTCGTGATTGAGATGCGAGAAGCGTGAAGAGAGTTGAGAATAGGTATATGCCACTGCCGTAGTCAGTTGGTTACGGTTGTGAAAAGGAGTGTATAGTATTCTTATAGATTGCTTTGCATTGGTGGTTCCACACAACCACACCCTAGAATCATCTTAGCTAAGGGAATTTTTTTCTCAAATAATATTTTTTTTAAAAAAATTATAAAAAAAAACATCTATTACACATTATTTACCTAAATAGACCTCTTTACTGTTCATACTCAGAATTCGATTTCCGGAGAACCAAATTCTGAGCAATGTTATTTTTTTTTGTGTGCTCAGAATTCGGTTCCGGGAAACCGAATTCTAAGTAGTGTTTAAATTTTATTTTTTTCGTTTTGGGCTCAAGAATGTGTCAATTTTGCAATTAGAACAGACCTTTCTCCATTCTGCTTGCATTTCTTGGAGAATGACCCGTTCTGATATATTCTTCATGTGTATATTTTTTTTATCTAGAACGGGCCGTTCTGCAATCAAAACGGCCCGTTCTGCAATCAAAACGGTTCGTTCTGTAATCAAAACGGCTCGTTCTACAATCAAAACGACTCGTTCTGCAATCAAAACGGCTCATTCTGCAATCAAAACGGCCCGTTCTAAATCTAGTTTTCCTTTTTCTCAGAAACTAAAATGCAAAAAAATAAAAAATAAAAATAACACTGCTCAGAATTCAGTTCCCCGAGAACCGAATTCTGAGTGTGAACAGTAAAGAGGTCTATTTGAGTAAATAATGTGTAATATATGTTTTTTTGATAATTTTTTTTAAAAAAATATTATTTCAGGAAAAAAAAAATTCTAGCTAAGGTTCGCGGGTAGAACCAGAAGCTCGCAACTTACATGGTTAACGAGACTATTTTTTTAAAAAATTATATAATTATAGAAGATATTAAGTTTAATTTACAAAGATCGTAGATTATTTAGACTTAATTCATGAAACTTACAAGTTAACTTGTTTAAAAAAAATATTATTTTTGTTAATTTTATAAGAGATTTTAAAATACGAGTGATTTTATCATTTTATTAACAAATAAGTGTAAGTAATATAAGTGATTTTAAAATATATTACATTTTTACTATCTTAATATGTTTTACAATTTTTTTTTCATACATGTTTTAGATTAAATGTATAAATTTGATATGATAATACTTTAATATTTTAGTTTAAATGTATAAATTTTTGTATATGTAAATCTTCTTCATATTTTCTTGACATAAAAAAGCAAAGAATTTTTTTTTATTTATTTATTAAACCCATGAGCTTATACGTTTAACTGCGGACTTCGTAAGACAGGTATGGATCATGAAAAAAAGATCATTTTATTTCATAGGTTGAACTTATCCGACAAACTAAAAATGCGAGTTTTACAAGTCGAAATCAAACTAATGTATATATATTCACCCTTACTTACACCATCTCACCTATCACCATGCATGCTCCTCATGTTTTTCAAAAGGAGTCATCCAAATAAATGCTTCTCCTTTATAAATAGATAAAATTTAGGTGCATTTTTTTATATGTGATATCTCAATGCTCTAATTAAAATTGAAGTTTTAACTCAATAATATATATTTATATTTAATGCAAAATTCATTAGTATATATTATTTATATTATCAAAGTAAAACTCAAATTCTGATTAAAAAATAACACTAATTATATCTAAATTTTATTAAATTTAAGTTTAAATATATTTCTAGTTCCTTAAAAAATAATATGTTTTGATTTTGGACCTATAATTTTTTTTTCATTTTTTTCATCTCTCTAAATTTTGAAACTATGATTTCAATTCCTATTCTTATATAATTTTTTTTTAACTATAATCACAAGTAAGGATGAGAATAGATTAGGCCTTAAACAAAGACATATATCCTAACCTCTTTAAAGTCTGACCAAACTTGACATATTTAATAAAAAAGTCAAATTTAAATTTTTAAAAAAGTCTATTTTTATAAAAAGACTAGACTTAAACTTATAAAAAAAAAGTCTATTAGACTTAATAGGTCAGTCTATTTATTTGTATATATAATATAATAAAAAATTAATATACATATATTATTAAAAATATAAATAAAAATAAATTTTATTAAAAAAAATTATCAATATTTAAAATATTTTTTTATACAATTATCTTTTTTTTTTCATTATAGGTTTATAAACTTATAACCTATACGTGAGTGTATATCAATATACATGATTAAGCATGAATTGTCCCTCCAATAGAAAAGGCTTATCTTTTTCTCCTATTTCATTTAAAATTTTAATTTTATTAATATTGAATAAGCTATACTTTTAAAATAAATTTATTTATATAATATAATAAAAAAACTAATAT